TTTTTTTTTTTTTTGGATATAGCATCTCACTCTGTCACCCAGGCTAGAGTGCAGTGGCAGGATCATGGCTCACTGCAGCCTTGACCTCCAGGCCCAAAGGATCCTCTCACCTCAGCCTCCCGAGTAGCTGGGACTACGGGTGACGCCCGGCTACTTTTTGTATTTTTTTTTTTTTGTAGAGGCGGGGTTTTGCCATGTTTTCTACGCAGGCTGGTTTCCAAATCTTGAGCTCAAGCAATCTGCTGGCCTTGGCCTCCCAAAGTGCTGGGATTACTGAGAATTAATATGTATGCACTGACGATCCTCTCAACAATCCAAAGCAGTGAAACTATTACTTCTGTTTGTGAATGTGGAAACCGAATTTAGGTAACCAGACAGCTCAAGGAATAGGACTGCTTTGAATGACGATTCTCTTCTAGGCAATTTGCAGCAACGTCAAAGGGCAGGGTGACGTTTGACGTTGGGGTGGGGTGAGGTCTCAAAAAATTCAGTAATCAAAATAAATAACATATTAATGCAATATTTTTTAAAAAATTAAATCAATAATCTACGGCTCATGAGGTAAATAATACACCCGCTTTTGTAGATAAAGTTTATTGGAACCAGGGACGGGATCAGGGTGAGGTGAGTAAGGCAAGGTCGTGCAAATGATTGGTCAGATCTTGTCTCTGTTTAAACGTCTGATATTTTGTTCAATATCAAATCATAAAAATTTTTTGCATTAATTTCGGTTTTTTAAAAACATTGCATTAAAATATGAGTTTGATTATTGAGTGTTTTGGCGCCCCTTTAAATTTTGCTCCTAAGGCGAGAGTGCCCTGCCCGAATTCGGCCCCAGAAAGGACACAGGTCTGGAAACATCTGTTTTCTACGCCTAATTTCGCCAGGGAGGTGCGAGCCACCAGCCAGGAGCCCCAACGGTGACTTCCCACTCGGGGCCCCGTAGGAAAACGCAAAGGGCCTCCGCGCGATGACCTCCAGGGCCCCTCCCAGGCCCAATGTGGAACTCCCTAACACCCTCGTCCTCTATTTGCGGAGAATCCCGCCCCGCACCCCTGCAGCCCGGTTCGGCCAGAGCCTCCTGGCTTTCAGGGCACCCTGAGGGGAGGAGCTTCCGCGACAGGAAACGCGCCAAAGGGGAGGGCTGGCGGCAGGAACCGGCCGAGGAGGGGCTGGGCTGCCGGCAGCGCGCGCCGCAGAGACCTGGAGCTCCCCGGCCACGGAGCCCGAAGCGCGGGAAGCCCGGCGGCGGGACGGGACGCCCGGTCGGAACCCATCCCGACCGAGTCTCGAGGCTGCGGGAGCCGACGCGGTGAACGCCGGGAGCCGCAGTCCTCCCGCCCGGGCGCCCCGGGTCAGCGGGGTCTACCCCGGCCCACCTAACCCCTCGGTGCCGGGCCTTCGCAGCCCCGGTGGGGGGCGTGTGCGTAAACTCACCTCAGAACCCACCTCGCCCGTCATGACTCCTGCCTCCCCGGTGCTCCGTTAGGGACGGAGCTGTCTCTGGTTCCCTCAGCCGGAGAGCAGCGGCTCCCGCAGTCTCCAGCCCGGCAGCGCTGTTCGAGCTTTCCCGCCCAGCCAGAGTGGAGGTCCCACCCCCATGGTTTGCACCAATCAAGAGGGGATTTTCCAGCGAGTCCCCGCCCCATTCCGACCCACCAATCACGCAGCGCCTCCGGCCGACCTCAAATAACCCAGGCTGGGTCGCAGCTGCTGGTAGCGGCGCCTCGGGGAGCTGGAGGTACACTGGGGCGGGCAGTAGGTACCAGGCGAGCAGTGGTCTTTGACCATTGACACTTGCCAAAGCAGGAAGTGCGGTTGGAGGGGTGAGTCTTCGGGGGGAAGTGAGCTGGGAAACTGTTCCTGGGCACCTGGGAGTGTCCTGTACCTGAACCTTTTTAAAGGGATTCCAAGGTCCCCGTGGGATTTTCTCCACTGACTTCATTTCTGGAGCAGCTAGATCCTGTCTGCCTTTTGTACACGACACTTACCACTGAATATATATATACACACACACACACATATGTACACTCTCACACATATACACACATAGACACACATATATGTACACACGTATATATGCACACACACTGGTTTGTTTTTTGTTTTTTTTTTTTCGAGACGGAGCCTCCCTCTGTTAGCCAGGATGGGATGCAATGGCGCGATCTCGGCTCACTGCAACCTCCGCCTCCCGGGTTCAAGAGATTCTCGTGCCTCAGCCTCCCGAGTAGCTAGGACTACAGGCACCCGCCACCAATGCCTGACTAATTTTTGTATTTTTAGTAGAGACGGGGTTTCACCATGTTGGCCAGGCTGGTCTCGAACTCCTGACCTCAAATGATCCGCCCCGCCTCGGCCTCCCAAAGTGCTGGGATTACAGGCGTGAGTCACCGCGCCTGGCCCACTTTTATTTATTAAAGACCTTTAGTCTTTAAAAACTAAAGTGCAATAACCTGATATTGGCTCATCGCAACCTCCGCCTCCCGGATTCAAGCCATTCTCCTGCCTCAGCCTCCTGAGTAGCTGGAATTACAGGTATATGCCACCACACCCAGCTATCTTTTTTTATCTTTAGTAGAGATGAGGTTTCACCGTGTTGGCCAGGCTGATCTCGAACTCCTGTCCTCGTGATCCGCCCGTCTCAGCCTCCCAAAGTACTGGGATTACAGGCATGAGCCACCGCACCTGGCCTATCCCAAACAATTCTAATCCCAGTTTTGCCACTGTGCTGGCCATTATTTTTTGCCCCTCCAGGTTAATTCTCTGTCCTTCCTTTACCCTGTTTTGTGTTAAGGCAAGGCTGATCTCTCTAGACTGTATTATCCCAGCTCCCTTGCCCTCTGGCTTCTGTTTGGGTCAGGCCCCTGTAAAGGCACTTTATAAGGTGACTGTAAGGAGATGAGAGACCACCAGGAAAGAAAGGTCAGAGTATTTATTGCTCACTTCACCCTCCATGGTCATATCCACTGCCAGCCCAGCTTGCCCAGGACTTTCCTAGTTTTAGCACTGAAAGTCCTGCATCCTGAGAACCTCCTCAGTCACAGGCATACCAAATAGTTGGTTCATCACCCAATCCACTGGCCTCCTCTTCCAAATTTCCAGCTTTAGCTGGGTTCAGAAAAAAGCTCCCTTTCCACATCTTCATTTCTTTACCTCCCCATCATCTCTCAACCCACTTCTGCCCCCACCACCAAAAACAGCCCATCATCCATCCTCTTCTCTTTTTGTGTCCTGGTTTATCCACCTTTTCATCCACTTTACTATTAATTTCTACATCAATGACTCCCAAATATACATCTATGGCACTCCCCATCAAATGTGGAGGGCTAATGTTTGTTGAAGCCTTACTCAGTGACAGAAACAGTTGCAAGGATTTTATAAGTGTTATCTTATTTAATCTTCAGAGTAAACTTGTAGGTAATATTATTATCTCTTTCTTAGAAGATGAGAAAACCAAACTTTTAAAAGGCTAGAAACTGGTGGAGCCAATTTTCAGACTCGAGGT